AGTACTGCTGCCTAGCTCCTTATTCCTCTTTTTGTAGCTGCGCATTTGATTTTTCCTTCCTAAGTGCAGTACTTTGCACTTGTCATTATTGAATTTCATCTTATTGATTTTAGACCCATTCTTCAATTTATCAAAATCTTTTTGAATTTGAATCCTCCTCCAACGTGCTTGCAATCCCTCCCACCTTGGAGTCATCTGCAAATTTTATAAGCCTACTCTCCAATCCGTCATCTAAGTCATTCATGAAAATATTGAATAGCACCGGACCCTGGACAGACTCCTGTGGGACATCACTTGAGAAGCCCTCCCACCTAGTGTGACAGCCATCTACTCCTTTCAACCAGGTGTGAACCCACCTTATAGAAACTAAATCTAGATTATATTTCCCTGATTTGCTTATGAGAATGTCATGTGGAACTGGGTCAAAATCAAGATACACAGCTACCCCTTCCCCCCTTACCCACTAGGCTGGCTACCCTGTGAAAGGGGGAAAGTAGGTTGGTTTGACATGATTTATTCTTGACAAATCCCTGTTGGCTATTTCTTATAACCCTGTTCTCCTCTATGTTTGAACAAATTGATTGTTTAATAATTTGTTCTGGTATCTATCTAGCCTCCCTCCCTCCCCATACAGATCTATCTATCTAGATTGCAAGCTCTTTGGGTCAGGGGCTGTCAGTGCCTAGCGCAATGGAGCCCTGATCACTGTTTGAGGCTGATATGTGCAATACAAAAAATCTCTCCCTAGCTACTTACCTCTTCTGTAAATCATCTCTCACTGTAGTAGCGAGGCACTCTCTCTTTTGATGAAGGACTAGAGCAGGATGCTTGCGTTCCTTTCTTCACTACATGCCCATTATTATAAGTCCTTTGCTCTTTAACATGCAGTGACAATAAAAGTGGGACAAGCCATGGAGAAAGGATGGGCCAGGCCATATCTGTAGCCTGAACCTGAACGTCCATACGGCAATTTTATAGCTCTGCAACCCGAGCCCAGGTCAGCTGACCCAGGCCAGCCTCAGCTCTGCTGCGTGTCTTCTATTGCAGTAGAGGCATGCCCTTATTAGCTACCCCAAAACCAAAGCCCTTTGCTCCTTCAGAGGTCAACTGACCCTGCTGCTCCATCCCCTCGGGGGGCCTCATTGCTGGTCGCTGTGCAGAAGATATTGGGCTGTTGAGAGTCTAACTCTCTCCCTTGTTGAGCAAGGCGCATTGGTGGATAACTCAGGCACTGAGAGCCAATTTGCATGCAAATCTCCTTTAGGGAAGAGAACCACTCGAAACACAAGGGATGGAATTAGTCTGAAAACAGAAGGGCAGATCCTGAGCTGGTGTAGAAAGTCAGAGCTGCATTGGCTTAGTGGAGCTCTGGCAATTCACACCAGCCGAGGATCTGTCTTATTGTGGCACCTGCTCATTAAAAGGCATAATAATTACACAGCAGAGCTGCGCCGCCTGCTCCCGCGGTGTCATTGTGCTCCCCCTCATTATGTACATAAACTAATTACACAAATGCAATAATGGAATGCCAATTATGCAGATGACTTTTCTGCTGGGTGGACTTTCCCTTCAGCCTTGCCTCTCCCATTAATGTTCTGCCTATGAGTTAATAAGTTGTTTACTTCACTTGACACATTCCAAGCTGGTTTGTACATATCTGGGGAAATTGTCTTGTACAAATATTCCTTCTCTCATTTCTCTATCTTTCACCACTCCACCTATACTCATTTCTGCATCTATCCCCGGGGACATCTATCTATCTCTGCACACGCCCATCTCAGTCTCTATATCTGCACCACTCTGATACCCATTGTTTCTGAGAGTCTTGTCACAACTTGAAACTTCTCTGTTGTCAAAACACTGAAATTCCCATAATTCTCCTATGGTCTTTCACAGCTGAGCAAAATCCCTGCCAGCCCATGGATGGCCCCGGGATGGAGTCAGAAGGCAGAATCAACAAGACGATCTCTTCTTTAATGAGCCATAAAAGGAACTTGACATATTTGCCCTACTACCAGCACTCCCCGCCTGTTGCCGCTATCTATATAATCTCCTACTTGTTTATCTTCGCCTTGTGCATGGTTGGGAACAGTCTGGTTTGCTTCATTGTGCTGAAGAACAGCCGGATGAGAACAGTCACCAACCTCTTTATCCTCAACCTAGCCATCAGCGACCTGCTGGTTGGGATTTTTTGTGTGCCCACCACACTCGTGGACAATTTAATCACAGGTAAGGAGAGAGGGTGACACTGAGCGCTCTCTGTGCTGGCCAGACCTCCAGCAGTGTCCCACCTACAAGAGTTGATGAGAAGAGAGGCCCTGAGCACAGAATTGACTCAATCCCAGTTTCCTCTGGGTTCTCAGGCACATAACTCCACTGCTCTGGGCCATTTACATACGCACCTGCCTCAGAGGGGAGGTGTCAGCTAATACTTATTAATTCCTTTGAAGAAGGAAATTGACTTATAAATGCTAAGAGTAAGGAAACCACTAAGACCTAAAGCAGCCTTAGGAACACAGGCAATGCAGCTCCATTGGGAGCATCCAAAGGTGTAAGCACCTGAGAGAGACAGGGATCATTTAGGGTTGTACAAGTGCTGCAAAGCTAGCCAACATTTGCAAACCTGGGTGCCTCGTGGCGGACTTCTAAATAAATGCTGCCTTGTTTGCAAAGGGGCCGAGGGCCTGTAGTTCCCACTGACTTCCATGGGATCAGCAGCTGCTTAGCACCTTAGCATGCTCTGCTCCATGCTGTTGGCAAGATGAGGGGAATTGTGCAGGGCATTTTGTGTGTGCTACAGGCTTGATCCAAAGCCCGCTGAAGTCAACTGTTGGCTCCAGCGACCTCTGGATCAGGTCCTTGGTCCCTAAGGAAAGTTGTGGGGCTGCTGCACATGGTAGAACGGGTCAGGAGAGTCTCTTCTTGCATTCCTGAGCTGGCCCGTCCCCAGGCCAGGACTCTCCACAGGGATCAGTACTGTTCCCTCAGGCTTCATTAAGTGTCTGCTGAGCACAGCAGCTCCCTCCCCTCTAGAGCACACGGGGTTGTTCTCCTGTGCTGCCTAGGCCTGGGTAGGGGTGACTGGCTAAGCGCCTCCTGCTCTGAACCAGGAACAACTCGGAATAATGCCCTTGCCAGAGGGGTCAGGCAGGAGGCAGCTGGCATCTGTATGGTCTCGGGCTTGGAGCCTGGAAAAAACAATGACTTTGTCTAACACATTGAAGCTTCTATGGTTGCTGGCACCCAAAGTTCTTGGAGGGTTAAGGATACTGGGATGCTCTGAGACACGCTCACTAAATGGGCCACAGAAATGCATCTCATTTTCTCTAACTGGTAAGTGAATTCTCCGCTTGCTGGAGTGAGGGACTGACAGTGCTGCCCAGGTGCAGGGAGAGGAGATTCTGTATAAACTTCCCACACACATCTCTGCCAAGAGACACCAGTCCAGACCTGCTGTGCCCCCTGCCAGCCCACTGACCCTGGCAGCTCTGCCAGTGAAAACTCTCTGCTACTGCAAGTCCAGAGCTCCCACACAGCCCTGCTAAGTCATAGCAATCCTGACCCACAGGGCTTGCTGCTCCGGTTCTGGGCTTCCACACTGCTCTGACAACACCTTTAATATCTGTCCTGCAGCCCCCCTCACACAGCTCTGCCAGTGCCCTTCGATCCTGACCTGCAGCACCCTATGATTGCCCAGGCCTGCACTCCCCAGATCTGCCAACTGTTCTCAGTTGGACATTTCATATACAAATATAAGATGCTAACTTGTCTGAAAAAAGAATGAGGAGTCCTTGTGGCACCTTAGAGACTAACAAATGTATTTGGGCATAAGCTTCTGTGGGCTAAAACCCACTCATCAGATGCATGCAGTGGAAAATACAGTAGGAAGATATATATATATATATATACACACACAGAGAACATGAAAAAATGGGTGTTGCCATACCAACTCTAACAAGACTAATCAATTAAAGTGGGCTATTATCAGCAGGAGAAAAAAAACGTTAGTTATTATCACTACAAAAGACAGTGATTATCACTACAAAAGTTTTTTTTCTCCTGCTGATAATAGCCCACCTTAATTGATTAGTCTCGTTAGAGTTGGTGTGGCAACACCCATTTTTTCACGTTCTCTGTGTACATATATCTTCCTACTGTATTTTCCACTGCATGCATCCGATGAAGTGGGTTTTAGCCCACGGAAGCTTATGCCCAAATACATTTGTTAGTCTCTAAGGTGCCACAAGGACTCCTCGTTCTTTTTGCTGATACAGATTAACATGGCTACCACTCTGTAACTTGTCTGAGTTCCTGTAGTGAGACGATTGCTGCTTTGGCAGAGAAGAGCCGCTAACAATGAAATCACCCCCAACAGCTTCTCTGCAGGGTAGGGGCTTGATGTGCAAGCTGCATGGACTCTTTTCAGCTGCAGCCCGCAAATAGTGCTGTATTCGGCCACAGCATCCTCTCCCAATCTCTCTATCATGTGAGCTCCCCTGGGCAAAGCAAACTGCATTGGCGTTTCATGGTGCAGCAACTGAGTTGCAACTGCACCTCTTGGGTTTGACGAGCTTCTGCTTCCCCCAGACTCACACTGACCCATGTCTGATTATTTTCTGCTAGGCTGGCCCTTCAGCAATGGAATCTGCAAGATGAGTGGGCTGGTTCAGGGCATGTCTGTGTCCTCGTCTGTTTTCACGCTGGTGGCGATTGCTGTGGACAGGTGAGAAGAGGCTGCACAAGGGAAAGTGGAGCTGCAGCAGCATAAACGGAAGCTCCCCCACCCCCTGACTTTAAATAAAGAAAATCAAAGCACAGGGCTCTGAACCCCCTTCCGACTCTCATTAAGATCAACGGGGAAAGATAGATTGGAGCAGGCTCTTTATCCACAGTGCCGGCAGTATCTGGTGCAGCCGCGCCACCTTCTCCACACTGCCCTGCCAAGGTGCTGAGGGGGAACCTTGCTCGGTGCAAGCATTTGGCCTTTAGGCCAGGTCGACACCACAGAACTTTTGCTTGCATAGCTCTGTTGGTCAGGGATGAGATTTTTGGCCAACAGAGGTGTGCTGGCAAAAGCCAGAGTGGTGGGGATGGAGGCAGGCATGGGCTAGACAGTAGCATCTAAAGCGCAGCGCTGGTGTAAGCTGTGTCCACACTGGGAGCGCTTGGCTGCTATAGCACATCAGCAGAGCAGGACTGGCCAAGCCTTCCAAGGGCAGGCCTGCCCTTAGGTGCTATGTGGCCAGTCCAGGCCAGTTCTGCTGGTGGCTTTTGCCTAGTGGATGCCTGCCCACATGCAAGCCCCAAGCTCCTTCCACACAATGGGCCCTGAGCAGCCATCAGCTAGGACCTGCTAGCACGAGGGGCAAGACAGAGCTGTGTGCTGCTGGGGCCGCTCCTCTTCCCTTTATCAGTCCCTGAGCCATCCGGTCCCAACGCGAGGCTTTTCATGTCTGAAATTTGTGACGCTACGCTGAGCGTGAACGGCTTCAAAGGCTGATATTTTTGCAAGACAACTACGTTTAATTAAAAACCCCATTACTTGGAGAACAGTTATGGAACTGTTGAATTAATAACTCCAAAATTGTTTCAAGTAAGAAACAGCCAGAATCAAAAGGTTATTTCCACTCCCATACGTTTTAATCATTCAGAGCCGTGTGCCTCCTCGCAGCCATTCACATCAGCACAATGTGGCAAAGGCAGACAATTACCTCAATCAAATGCAGGCTTCCTTGTTTTGCAATCTTATGCTGCAGGTTAACTGGGGGAGTTTGACTTTATGAGTGAACCTGCAAACTCCAGATAAGACTGGAATGGAAAGGTAGGCCATTGGTTCTACCTTCCCGCTTCCGGGCACATGCCAGCCTCTAACTGATCAGAGTTAGGAAGAAAATGGTCCTCTGCACAGGTGATTCCATAAATGCCTGTTGCAGGTTTTTTTGACCCTTCCTCTGAGGGCAGCTGGTACTGGCCCCTGTCAGAGGTGAGATACTGGGCAAGAGGGACTCCTGGTCTGAGCTAATCTGGCAACCCCTCTGTCCTAAGAAAAAAAGGTATTTTTAGAGCTGGTTGAACGTTTTCCTCTGAAAGGGGGATGGTGCCAGAAGGTGGCGGGGTGGTGTGTTTTTGTTTTGTTTTTTTAATGATGGAAAATGGATTTTTTGATCAAACAGAAATTCTTGAAAAATATCCATTTTTGTCAAAAAGTGGTTAGGTTTTCATTTAAAAGCTCTCTCCCCTTCTGCCTCTCACGCTTGGAATGAGCATCCCCTCCACAGCCACAAACCTTACTCATCCTCCTTCTCAAATCTCCTTTGCCACGAAGCCTACATTCACCTGACAACGGTCATGTTGCTGGTGTCCCGAGACCACTGCCTATCCTCCTAATCAGCCCGGTCTCAGTGTTTCCTTGTGCTCCGCCCTTGCCTGTCCCCACCTGCTGTGCTTGTCTTACACTTAGATCATCAGCTCTTCAGAGCAGAAACCATCTCTTTGTTCTGTGTTTGTACAGCGCCTAGCACAGCAGGGGCCTCGTCCAGGACTGGGGCTCCTTGGTGCTATGGAATCAATAACTGGTACTTCCACTGCAGAATGGGGGTATAGTGTAAAGACACAAGCTGTGAAATTCTGGCTCTGTTGAAGTCAATCTTGGCATTTTAGCACCAATCCACAATTTCACCCCTTCTCTCTTTCAATGGAAGTTTTACCATGACTTCAATGGAAGCAGAATTAGGCCAATACTAAGAGCTTTTGAAAAACCCAGCAAGTGGTTGGATTAGATACTTGGGACCTCTGCCCCTTTCCACCTCTGTGGGCATGGGCCCAAAGAGACATGATCTGGGAGTTAACTACCAGTCTTCCTGGCCCAAGGTAATCATGCACCATGTCCCAGGAGAACCTGGTACTGCTTTGTGCTTAGATTGCTTTTGGGTCTTGCTCTGTGAAAGTTTCTCTCAGTAGAACTCACCTATCCGTGTGTTGGTTTTGCATCAGGTTCCGCTGCATCATTTATCCCTTTAAATCGAAGCTCAGTCTGCTCAAGGCCCTGAACACCATCGTGGTCATCTGGGTCCTGGCCATCACCATCATGTGCCCTTCTGCTGTCATGCTCACGGTGGTGCAGATTGAGGATCACTACATGGTGTACAATGACAACCAGAGCCTGGCTTACCCCTTGTATTCCTGCTACGAGGCCTGGCCCAACAGCGAGATGCGCAAGGTCTACACCACTGTCCTTTTTGCCCACATCTACGTGGCCCCATTGACCCTCATCATGGTCATGTACGGTAGGATTGGCGTCAAACTCTACAGGTCATCGGGCCCGGTGAGCAAGCACAGGGTGGAGAACCAGGAGTGCTGCAGTGCTGCTGTCTCCAGGAGGAAGGTCAAGGTAATCAAGATGCTCATTCTGGTGGCCCTGCTCTTCATGCTCTCCTGGCTGCCCCTGTGGACCCTGATGCTGTTCACAGACTACACCAAGCTGGATGACGACCAGATCGACCTGCTGACGGGCTACATCTTCCCCTTCGCGCACTGGCTGGCCTTCTCCAACAGCAGCGTCAATCCCATCATCTATGGCTACTTCAATGAGAACTTCAAGCGGGGCTTCCAGGCAGCCTTCCAGTTCCAAGTTTGCTCGGAGGAGATAGGGCATCATGAGGCCTATTCGGAGAAGGTGACGGGCAGCACCAGTGGCTTCAGTACTCGCAACAAGATCTTCACGGACAGGGAATCCTCCGACTCCGTCTGCCTCAAGAACCTGCATGCCAAAGTCTCCTGCCCCGTGCAGAATGGACAAGCCCAGAAACAGGGACTTCACCTGCAGGATATTGATAAAATCACCCCTCTGAACAAAGTCTGCAAAGCATGGGATGAGTGAGACGGCTGGCGAGATGGGAATGCTGTCTCTTTCCATTTGCAAACGTCACTTTTATTTGTTACAGTGATGCGTGTGCAGTGAGGAGTATTTTCCCCTCAGGCCTGGTACCTAGCTATTCATATTCTGTTTTGTAAATGCAAAATGAATCGCATGGAGCTGCTGTTCAATATTCCTATCGATGCACAAATATCTGTCAATCACTTTCAGTGTATAGTTGAGGCTAGCTGTCATATAAAATGTCTATGTCTTAAAGCTACAACTCCATGCAGAGTTTCCTTGGCTTGCAATCAGAATGTGGTTCTTTTGGGGGTGGAAAAATGTATTTCACAGGTCAGGATTCAGTTTTGCATTTAAAAAAAAAATCTATGAGTATTTGTCTTCTTATGTTAGCAAACTGCTGCTTGTCAAGCTCCTACTGCTGTTGGGCCGCCCCATCTGTTATATGTGCAGAAGAGAATCCCAAAGCTGATAGGGCAGCCGAAGTCTCTCTCTGGATGCTCTTGCAAGGTTCCAAGGTCAGTACTTCAGACACAAAAACCATTCCAGCAGCTCTGCAGTGTAACACAAGAAATCGCAGCTGTATCCAGGGAGAGTGCCACAATAAACACTCCACACTTTTGTTACTAAGATCACTTTAAAACTGAAAGGATTAAAAAAGAAAACCCATCTAGGCCCCAATCCAGCAAAGCACTTAAGCAGATGCTTATCTTCAAGCATGGGAGTAGGCCAGATCCTGATGCTTTTCACCATTCCTGCTCCTTGACCCTGTCTAGACTAGAAATATGCACTGGTTTAACTAAATAGATTAAAAAATAATCTAATTCAACTAGTACAAACCCTTAATATAGATACACTTAAGACGGTTTAACCTTTGTTTAAACAGGTTCAGCTGAGTCAGTACGTTACAGTGAAATTGGCAAGGGTTAAACTGGTTTAGCGCCTCTGGATTAGGAATTTTCCCCAGTATAATGGATCAATTTTCTGATTGATTTAGTTCAACCAGTGCACTCATCTAGTATGGACTAGGCCTTTGTTACTGCTTGGCATTTTGCTCAGCAAAAATTCCTCCTGTGGACACGATGAACTACCGAAACAATGGAATAGCAGACATCACCAAAGACCGTCAGCCAAATTCTGTTCATTTACACTTGTGTAAATTTAGAGTAATACCATTTCTCTCAGGGCAGTTACTCCAGATGCACATTGCTGTGTCGGAGAAGAGAGCTTACCACATCATCTCCCCAGCTGCCAGGTGCTGCTTGGGGACAATGCAGAACTGTATGTCCCCCAAGGGCATTGCCCCTCAGCAGAGCTTGTGATATGCAATACACAGTGTGCCTGTTCCAGTGATTGGCCCTTGGAGATTTCACTGGCAACACATCCTGAGCAGGCAGTCAGCCACACAGGTCTGCTAGAACATGAGTCTATTATGCTCTTTGATCCATCTGTACCCATTCTTTGAATGTAGATTAGCTCATGCAAATTGTACACACAATAGCCTAACCATTTCCTGTTGGTTCCAAAGCCCATGCTAAAT